GGGATTTTCCTTTTGGGGTTATTTGGGGCTGTTTAGGGCCATTTGGGATCCCAGTTTTGGGGTAAATGGAGACAGTTTGGGTCAGAGTTTTGGGATCCCAATTTTGGGTCTGTTTGGGAATATTTGGGGTTCCATTTTGGGGCCATTTGGGGCTGTTTGGGGCTATTTGGGGTCCCAGGTTTGGGTACATGGAAATAATTGGGGTCAGGGTTTTGGGGTCCCAGTTTTGGGGCTGTCTGAAGCTATTTGGGATCCCAGTTTTGGGGCAGATGGAAGCAGTTTGGGTCGGGTTTTCGGGATCCCAGTTTTGGGGCTGTTTGAGGTGATTTTGGGGTCCCAGTTTTGGGGTAGATGGAGGCAGTTTGGGTCAGGGTTTTGGGGTCCCAGTTTTGGGAGGATTTGGGGTTTTCATTTTGGGGTTATTTGGGGCTGTTTGTGGTCATTTTGGGGTTTTCCTTTTGGGGTTATTTGGGGCTGTTTGGGGCCATTTGGGATCCCATTTTTGGGTCTGTTTGGGGCCATTTGGGATCCCAGTTTTGGGGCAGTTTGGGAATATTTGGGGTTCCATTTTGGGGCCATTTGGGGCTGTTTGGAGCTATTTGGGGTCCCAGTTTTGGGGCAGATGGAGGCAGTTTGGGTTGGGTTTTTGGGATCCCAGTTTTGGGGCTGTTTGAAGCTATTTGGGATCCCAGTTTTGGGGCAGATGTAAGCAGTTTAGGTCGGGTTTTCGGGATCCCAGTTTTGGGGCTGTTTGAGGTGATTTTGGGGTCCCAGTTTTGGGGTAGATGGAGGCATTTTGGGTCAGGGTTTTGGGGTTCCAGTTTTGGGGCTATTTGGGGTTTTCCTATTGGGGTTATTTGGGGCTGTTTGGGGCCATTTGGGATCCCATTTTTGGGGCTGTTTGAAGCTGTTTGGGATCCCATGTTGGGGGCAGATGGAGGCAGTTTGGGTCGGGTTTTCGGGGTCCCAGTTTTGGGGCTGTTTGGGATTATTTGGGGTTTTCCTTATGGGGCCATTTGGGATCCCATTTTTGGGGCAGATGGAAGCTGTTTGGGATCCCATGTTGGGGGCAGATGGAAGCAGTTTGGGTCGGGGTTTCGGGATCCCAGTTTTGGGGCTGTTTGAGGTGATTTTGGGGTCCCAGTTTTGGGGCAGATGGAGGCATTTTGGGTAGGGTTTTGGGGTCCCAGTTTTGGGGCTATTTGGGGTTTTCCTTTTGATGTTATTTGGGGCTGTTTGGAGCCATTTGGGATCCCATTTTTGGGGCTGTTTGAAGCTATTTGGGATCCCATTTTGGGGGCAGATGGAGGCAGTTTGGGTCGGGGTTTTCGGGATCCCAGTTTTGGAGCTGTTTGAGGTGATTTTGGGGTCTCAGTTCTGGGGTCTCCTCTGACCCCTATCCCCAGGACCCCCCCACGGTGGTGGTCCCAGACCTGAGGCTGTGCACTGTGAAGCCTTGTCCCGAATTGGAGCGGCGCTTCTGCTTCGAGGTGGTGTCCCCAAACAAGTGAGTGGGACCCCAAAATTTGGGGGGGGGGGGGGGGGGGGGGGGGGGACGGAGGGGGGGAAGACCCCAAAATAGGGTAGGGGGAGGGCAAGGATTGGGGGTTTAAATGGTGGTGAGGGGAGGTTGGCTTTGAGGGAGGGGTCGCCCCAAACATTCAATCCTAAAATTGCAGGAGACCCCAAAAATGGGGGTGCTGGAAAATGGAATGCTAAAATCATGGGGACCCCACAAAGTGGGAAACCTTTCCCTCTTTGGAACCCCATAACACTTTTGGGGTGCCCCCCCCCAAACCCCATAACCCTTTTTGGGTACACCCTGCAAAACCCTATAATGATTTCATGATGTTCCCCCCCCTCCCCCCCACCACCCTGAACCCTATAACCACTCTGGGATCTCCCCTAGAACCCTTTTGGGGTACCTCCCCGTACCCCTGTAAACCTTTTGGGGTGCCCCCCCTCCAACCCTATAACCGTTCTGAGGTCTTCCCTACAACCCCATAACCCTGTTGGCGTGCTCCCCCCCGACCCCATAACCCTTTTGGGGTGCCCCCCCCAGACCCCATAACCCTGTTGGTGTGCCCCCCCAGACCCCCATAACCCTTTCAGGGTGCCCCCCCGACCCCATAACACTTTTGGGGTGCCCCCCCCAGACCCCATAACCCTTTAGGGATGCCCCCCCCAGACCCCCATAACCCTCT